GAGGAGATGGTAAGTGATCTCCCTCGCGCACGCGGGGGGGGGGGGGGGGGGGAAGTCTGTTGCCCAGTTCTCAATTGTAGATTCAGAGCAGGCTGCAGTTCGTGCTCGGTTTCAGAAGCTGCTGTGGAAATTGGTTGAGTTTGTCTCTCTCAGCCTCTGCATAGGTATATACTGTCACTCTTTGTGAGCTGAGTAGCTGCATAGATGTTCACACTCCATAAGCATCAGTAATTCAATTTTGGATCAACTTGTCCATATCTGTAATGACTGTAGCTTCCACAGGCCTAGGCTAACCTGGGGTAGATTTTTTTTAACCTGGTTTAGACACTGCAGCACCTAGTCACACTAGAGCAGGCACTCAGCAGGAGCATATTGACCTTCTCTTGCAGTCCATGGCAAGTTTTGCAGCCTGCACTGGATTATGCTGTGCTCTACCTGTGTCACTAGTAGCCTAGCTACTTAAAAATTTGAAGAGGTGCAAGTGAGCTGACACCAAATGTTCAGACAGTCCGGTATCCCATATTCTGTAGTGAAAAGAGCAGACATCTATGAAAGCGGGGCAAGCAAAGAGCGGTATTTCCCCCCAAGATTCTGCCTGTTCAGCTGTCCTAGCTCAGGAACTAGATTGGGTATATCTGCATGAGCTGAAGTCATAGCATTGCAGAAATGAGTCTGCAGATTAATTTCACCTATAGCTTATGCTTAGCAAGTTTTACTTTAACAGAGAAAACTCATTTAAACAGCTGGTTAAATGTCTTGATGAAAGGACATTACCTGTCTTGATTAAACGTACAGGAAATGTACAAGGATGTTTCGTCAATATGTTAGGCGCCATATATTTATATTTTTTAATTTGTAATTTGAACAGACATGTCCAAGTGCATGCATCTACAGCAGAGCTTGAAAAAGGTATGTCACACCAACTTCCTTATTTTTTGATGGCTGCCTGTTGAAATGTTATGAAACTAAGTAGCCTGACATAAAACAACACATTTTCAGAGTAAATAATCAACCAGTGGATCTTACATCAAGAAAGCAATCAACTGTATGAATAGATAACCTATAGCCTGTTTTTATGTATATAATTCAGGTGCCCAAAGTAAAACCACAGATTCCTCAAAGAGCCAAGAGAACAACAGAGAATTATTGCATTACCCTCTGGAGGACTTCAGAAGCATCTGCTTCTCTCCGCTGACTACACAGGGAGACTAGGCTCCTAAATAAAGTGTCTAGTTTAATAGCAAAAATATCCATTTCGGTGTAAGACTGTTCCTAGGTTTTAGGTCTACAAGTTTGTGCTAAGCTGAAGCAAAACTGTCAGGAGGGATAGAGAGTTATTCAACACAATGTCCACTATATATTATGGGTAACAAACAGATGTTCAAAGGAAGAGAAAACATATCCTGTATACCCCAAAAGTCTACTTCACAGTAACTGTGCATTGAAAAGATGCCTTTATCTATTTTCTCATTGGGGGAATTGCTGCTAGTACTACAGTAATATTATTCTGTCAATATACATTGCACTTATTTAATTCTCTGTTCAATTTCATTACCAGAATCAAGTAAAGTTAAGAAGATCAAGACAATTGTTGAAGAGGTGGTTGATGGCAAGGTTGTCTCCTCTCAGATCAGAGAGACAGAAGAGAAGCTGTAAATGGCACCAGCAGAGAGGAGACGGCCTCTGGGCTTCTTGGAGCTGATGCCAAAACTAAAGAATCCAATCTAATTCTCCCTAAAACCCAGAAGGGTGGAAAAATGCCAAACTATCAAATCTCAAACAATCCTTCCCTTCCCTTCCCTTTCCCTTCCCTTTCCCTTTCCCTTTCCCTTCCCCTTTCCCTTCCCCTTCCCCTCCCTTCCCTTTGCTTTCCCTTTCGCTTTCCCTTTCTTTTTTCTTTTCTTTTCTTTTTTCTTTTCTTTTCTTTTCTTTTCTTTTCTTTTCTTTTCTTTTCTTTTCTTTTCTTTTCTTTTCTTTTCTTTTCTTTTGAGTGTTAATAAAAATCAGTAAGTTAGAAAGTACAAGATTTTGGGTTTACTTACATAGTGACTAAATACCTTGATGAAAAAAACCACAAATCAGCCTGTTATAAATGTATAATTGTTTCCAAGACAGATAAAAACTGAAGTATTAGTTTTTCTTATATCATAGTCTTAAAATTACATTAAAAAACTTGCTCAGTAAAAATTAGAAAGTCAAACGACTTATAGCATGAATGTACTATAGCTTTTAAAATAATCTAAATTAAATTTAGAAAAATACTGAAGCAATGTTTACTGTTGAAGTTTCAAAGCACTAAGCTGGTAAAAGTCATTAGATGAAGACATGGGACAAAATTTGCTCATGTGCTCGACAAGCTCTGGATAGTAATGGACTCCTCTGAAAGCACTGTGAGAATTTCTCCTTCATTTTTTCAGACAGTTCACTTCAACATCTGGTGCCTTAAGTCTTCTCACACTTTCAACATTAATAAATGAGAAGTTTTTAGAAGAGAGCTGCTATTTCTGAAACCTTGGACACCTCATCAAAACTTTACAAAAAGAATTTACCAGATACAGATGATACACTCTCTATCAAATATGTTAGTTTAATTGCAATCCAAAGTTTAGCAATCTATTTTTTCTCGTATGTACTAGCACATTTAGAGTAGATTTGTTTTTAAAAATGCATTAAAATGTTGATTCAGTGCACCTTTTGTGAACTTGAACTACCATTCAAATGTAATGCAGCTTGACTTCAGTAAAAACCAATTTTCAAATAAATAAGAAGCGTCAATTTGCATTTCATAATAAATTAAAATGAATAAATAAATTGAAGAAGCCTATTTATCATTTTTCACTCTCTGTGAATGTTTATATCACCAGGGACTATAGCAAGCAAAGATATTTTATCAATAAGAATATATTTTGCCCTTCAGTTCCAAAATAAAAAGACCAGCATCTCTATTAAACCTTTCCCTACCAAAAACTGCACGTACCCTTTCCCACACAGTATAAGTCTCCTATGCCACACCTGGAGCTTCAGCCCAGGGAGTCTGCATTTTCCTCTTGACAACACAAACACAAAAACCCCTTACTTTCGAAATCTCACCTGTCCAGTGTGTTATTTACTGTACATAAACAGCTGCCAAAGCAAATAATCCTTTGCTTTCCCTGTCATGAGTCACTGATACCAGGCTATCAATTCATTTCTACATAAACGCTTTACTTAAACCTTTGATCTACTGCTCGTAACACATTTCTGCCCAAAAAAGCACCCATGCTCCTGGATGTAGAGAAATTAAAAATGAATACATTTCCGTTGACAAATCCAATGATATAATTAAGCCAGGACAAAGAAAAAACAATTTTCTGTTTACCAAAATATCTTCAAAAGAAAAGTATATTGGTTTTGAAGGGTCTCCATGCCTAAACCTGCAACCAGAAGAGCTATATTTGATCTTTAGATTTATATTATAAAAAGCACAAAATACAGAAATAATTTTCCTTATTTTGAGATAATAGCAAACTATTTAGAAGAAACAATGGTCGGGTTTCAGCTCAAAAGTATAAGCTGTTGGTATAGGCTATGCATATTACACAGAGATATTTCAGTGATGAAAGGTTTAGGGCAGAAAACACAATTGCAAATTATATTCAGTACAATCAAGTATATTTATGTTTTCATATTAATGATGAACCTGCAGATCAGTGAACGTCCATATGCCTCTTCATACACTTTTGTTGATCACTTTTCTTACTTCTTATTAAACACGCAAGGAGCACTAACCTGGCAGACATTCATGCCAGAAAAGTATTATGAAAAGAAGCACATTTTTGACATGCACAGTGGGAAGTATAATATGAAAGGGATCACTCCACTGACTTAAGCATACTTCTATAATAATAGCCCCAAACCAAGAAAGCAATGACAAGCAAATGTCATGTAATGACAAAAAAAAAATATTTAGGAAGGATTTAAATGCGAAAATAAATTTTAGTGCTTCATTGCACATGGCAAAACATTATCGTGATGTCTTAGGTCTACTCCACCCATTCCCCTCATACAGCAAACACCTGGAGGGCACCAGATTTCCACTCCCATTGGCAATTTAGATTGACACATATCATTTAGTTTGGTCAGGACATACTAAACTGACTTCCCCTCCAAATGAGAGAACGAGAGAATTAAAGATCTTCCAAGGAGGTGGAGACTACTTCTGAAACACCCACCACGTTCCCTATATAAAGGGTCAACTGTTCTCTGATCTGCCTCGCTCTGTGCTGTGTGCTTTGCAGAATAGATCAGGGCACCTTGAGCACCATGGCCCTTTCCGTGTGCACAAGTGGTGGATCCCGGCAATTCTCTTCTTGGAGTGGACTTGGCGGGGGATCTCTGAGAATGTCTAGTTCTGGTGGTGGAGGAGGCGTTGGTGGCAGCGGACTTGGGTTTGGTGGTGGATCTGGCGGAGGTTTTGGTGCTGCTTCTATGCTTGGTTCAGGCTCTGGCTTCAGTGGGGGTTTTCGGAGTAGCTCAGGTGGAGGCTTTGGGAGCGGCTTAAGTAGTGGCTTTGGTGGAGGCTTTGCTGGTGGTTTAGGTGGCAGCTATGGAAGTGGCTTAGGCAGTGCTTTTGGTGGAGGTTTAGGAAGTGGTTTTGGCAGCAGCTCAGGCAATGGTTTTGGAGGTGGCTTTGGTAGTGGCTCAGGATATGGTTTTGGAGGTGGTTTTGGCACTGCTGGTGCTGGGGATGGTGGCCTTTTTTCTGGCTCAAAAAAAGAAACTATGCAGAACCTCAATGACCGTCTGGCTGCTTATCTGGACAAAGTACAAAGTCTGGAGGATGCCAATACCGACTTGGAGTGCAAAATCCGCGAGTGGTATGAGAAAAACGGCCCTGGCACTGGTATCTCTGGATCTGGGAATGACTATAGTAAATATTATCCTACAATTGAAGATCTTCGAAACAAGGTAGCAAAGCAATGTACTTAACGTATCTTTCATTTGTAATTCACCTAATAATATTTCAGATAAAAATAACAAATTCCTTTCAGAAACCAAGAGCAAATTTATTCTACAGTACCAACGTTTGTAATAACCTCTGTCACATTGCACTGGTATCACGTGTTGAATTTTTCTTGTATATTAACGGCAGTTCTGTAGCTATATCACACAATGCTGTGTGACTTGGTCTAATTTGAATAGAGGAGAAGGCAGTGATGGAATCCAGTTCTACAGACTCTTGTAGATTACAGAGTTTAAATTTTGGTAAGTTTCATATTTCTTACATCACAAATTCAGTTCCGGAAATAGACACACTACCTGGCAAGGTCTTCAGATTATAAACTATCTAGTCATAGAATGCAAACTGGTATTCTACCATTAAGTGAAGCATGCTGATTTGCAGAAGCTGAAAATCTGTCATATATTTGCATAGTAAATCATACAAGAGTCCAACAAATTATGTTTAATATTATAATCGTATTTAGGATTACAGTTATATAAAGAGCTATATTGAGCTGCAAAGCCATCGGGCTATAAAATCATTCTCTGAACTTTCTTTGTATTCCAGATCATTAATGCAACTATCGACAATGCAAGAATCATTTTGCAGGTTGATAATGCCAGACTGGCTGCTGATGATTTCAGACTGAAGTAAGTATATCTTAGTATTACAAAAACTCTTACTAAAATTTTAAGGAAAAACTTCTTTTGTATTTAAAAATCTCTTTCCTTGTAGAATATTTTAAGATAATTATTAAAATAGAATAATGGTGTGTATTAAGATTTCATATTAAAAGCTATATAAGTACATGGTAATAGTTTGCATTTGACCTCATGAACCACATAAAAAATCGTATTTAATTACTGTATTTACAGATATGAGAATGAAGTGGCTCTTCGCCAGAGTGTGGAAGCTGACATCAACGGTCTGCGTAGAGTTCTTGATGAGCTGACCTTGACAAGAGCTGATTTGGAGATGCAGATTGAAAGCCTGAATGAAGAACTGGCTTATCTCAAGAAGAATCATGAAGAGGTACTTTTTTTCTTTGTGTATTCCTAACAAGGCAGATGGAATTGTGAAATATCAGATTATTCCCTTATTTATGCCAGTGGGAGTTCCTTGGTTTCATTACTTGTTTTGTTTGCTGTTCTTTTTTGAGTTCACTAAGTGAAAGAGTGAAAGAAATATGCACACGAGCTAGGGATTCTTGTTGAAACAGAATTTATATCGCATATATTTTTGGTAGAACTATTTTGCCTTTTATTAACAGAAACTTTTCTTTATTTTAAATCTCTCCAGGAGCTGCAGGGCATCCAAAGCAGTGCATCTGGCCAAATCAGTGTTGAAATGGATGCTGCTCCAGGAACTGACCTGACCAAGCTTTTGAATGACATGAGGGGACAGTATGAAGTCATTGCTGAGCAAAATCGCAAAGAGGCTGAAGCATGGTTCAATGAAAAAGTAACAACCAGAGATAGCAAATTCAGCAAAATGCATGCAAAAATTAGTTAAATATTTGGAACAGTAAAATTACACTCTATTCTTCCTTGCCATTTCAGAGTGGGGAGCTGAAAAGGGAAATCTCCACCAATACTGAGCAGCTTCAGTCAGGAAAGAGCGAGATCACAGATTTAAAACGGACTCTCCAGAGCCTGGAAATCGAACTACAGTCTCAGCTTGCCATGGTATGTTCTAAGGAAGCTGCTAACTAGTCAGAGTAAATTTTCCAACTTCAAAAGTCTTGTTAGATCTTATACTATTCTATAGGATTTAAGATTTGCATTTATTGCCTATAAAATCCTGCATTCTTTTAGTTCCTAAATAGCAGTAATATATATAATTGGATTGCAAGTAGCGTGTTATAAAGCAGATGAACTTTTATGTTCACATTCAGTGAAGCAGCAAAGGCCAGCTTTCAAACTGGTATTTCAAGGAAAAAAAAAATCTCCAAGTAATGAGGCTATACTGACTCCCATTAAACTATTTCAGTTGTTTTTTTCTTCGCAAAGAATTTTTTTTTCCTCAATCGGAGTTATTTAATATCCTTCTTACACAGAAAAAATCCCTTGAAGACACTTTAGCAGAAACGGAAGGAGGTTACTGTGCTCAGCTTTCACAAATGCAACTTCAGATTGGGAATCTGGAGTCTCAGCTGCTTCAGGTCAGGGCCGATATGGAGCGCCAGAATGCAGAGTATCAACAACTTCTAGACATCAAGACCTACCTGGAAATGGAGATTGAAACCTATCGTCGCTTGCTGGATGGCGAGTTTCTGTAAGCAACTAATTTACATAAAGTACCTCCTTTGTTTTATTTTCTGTAGCAATATCCTTTCCAGGAAAAAAGAGGTAAAAACAAGTGGTACGTTCACCAAAAGACAGGAAGGCACATACAATGATTCTGAAATAATACAGATATATTCTAACTGAGGAGAATGAACCATTCTGCTCAGTATTTAAAATAATCTATCAATGCCAACATGGAAAGGGAATTTCTCCTGATCCTGACAAACATTCTGCAATATTGCGTGTCTCTGATTCACTTTTAGGAGCGCAGGACAGGGAGTTACATTTGAAAGCTCATCCTTGACAGGGTCCAAATCAGAAACACAATCGCTGGATTCTTCTCAGGGTAGGTACAACTTGATTGAATAAAATTTTGTTTCTAAAGTCATTGTTATAAATACAATACTACATGCTATTCTGTTTAACTACATCATAGAGTTCATTATAACAAGAAGCCAATTTGAAAGGAAAAGGATGTAACTGTTCATGTACACGTGCTGCTCTGTTTTATAATTTTTAACACTTTGATAAATATTTTTTGTTTTGTTTGTGATGTTTAGATCCTACCAAAACTAGAAAGATCAAGACAATTGTTGAAGAAGTGGTAGATGGAAAAGTTGTTGCATCCCACGTTAAGGAAGTTGAAGAGAAGATATAAGGCACAATCTGATATTGCAAAGGATCTGTTCACTCCATGTTTTTTCAAAGCCAAAATGGATAAATAATTTTGATCTTTTGTATGAAGTGATAAAAATAGATTGGCTTTTTACTAAGATTCTTTTGCATAAAACAAAGCTTGCATTTTCATTCTTAGCAGTCACGCAATATATTTTCTGCTTCAGTCTATTGGTATTACCTGTATTATTTTCATGGTGTTCTTTAAATATATCATCAATTCTTTGTTCAATAACTAGAAATATGGTGCACACGTTAGGCATTTAATTAAATATGCTTTTTAAATAATTTTTAGTAATTAATAGTTAAAATAATTTTGCTGTTCTAACCTCATTTTCCTGTTTTCTTGACTAATAAAAAGGACTCAACAAGCTTTAAGATAGTAGTCTCCTTTTATTCTTCATTTAGGACTGCTGATCCATATTTGCCATTTTGTTGGGTATCTTGCTTTACCATACATGATGTGTGTGGTATAGTACTCCCCATTAATTTAAAGAAATTAATCCAATGCTAGAACACGTACATGTTAAAAAAACTCTCTAAATGTGGGATTAAAGGAATACTTGCTAACATATAATTTAAAGCTATCAATTTAAGAGAGAAGTTTTTGCAAACAGAACAACATATTGTAGAGACTACAGCTGTAGTGGAAAAGAAGGGATACCCTGGTTTCGAGGCACGCAGCAACCCCAGCCATGGTTCCACGTCCCCGAGTGCCATCTGGTGGGAGCACAATAGGATCTTGCGAATCCTGAATTTGGCTTCCGGATGTCCAACTCAAACGAACTATTTAAAGGAATCCCATCCAAAACAAAATTATGAACCAAAATACAATCCCCTTACCATTTACACCTAAGCCTTTGTTCTTGAGCCAAAATGTTGACGATTTTTGTGTGATTCTCAGATAAGACAAGGAAGTTACAGTGACCTCTTACATATATATTACCGTGTCTCTAGAATACAAACATTCTACACATTCCATCACATCCCTTAAACGCTTGACCCACACTAGAAGTTTAACGGGAGCACCGATTTCATACTGTGCTTCCACTCTGCCTTTTGTAAAACCCACCACTAGCATTTTTTTTGCATCCTGCTTCGAACCAATAAAAGCCAGGGTAATTAAAACAATAATCAAAGAACTAACTCAGCATGGTAGAATCACAACATCTAAAATCCAGTCAGTTAAAGAAAAAGCACTGTGATAAATAACCCAGAGAAATAAAATAGAAGAATCTTCTATATATGCCAGTACAAAGAGGGAAGAACTTGAAAACCTCTTGAGTAAATGCACCATCTGCAACAGTTTAAGGAAGTAATTTATTTTCTAAAAGCATGGAACACAAGTGCACCTCTTTTTTTTCACCCTTTAAAAGCAGTGTTGATAAATAAATGAGAAGAATCTTACTACATGCGATGTATTTCAATAGTATTTTTTACTGTTGCAGACTACATTTTTTTAATTAAAATAATTACAATATAAATTAAAATAATGATATCAGAAATAGACAAAGTGAGGTTGTTTATGTAGCTGGGTACGATTACCAAGAGTACCATTGTAGAGAATTGTTAAGATTATAGACTAAAGGAAATGATTTCTCTTCCTAAGACAGGACAGCATTCATCATCTTTCTTTCCTATCCATAATTTTTTTCTCTTATGTGGAAAATCTGAAACCGTATCATGTTCCCCATTATTGACAGCATCTCCATTTTGAAAAGAAAAATAGGTCTCTCTTGTCTTCCTCTTCCAAAGACATATGTACTTTCTGAATAATTGTATACAAAGAAATATGAAATAATGTACATACCTCAAGGACTGCAACTGTGATTGCTATGAAATCATTATTCCCTACATCATTCAGTGTAGATTTCCACTGAATAATCATGTAGTCTACCTACACACATCTTCAGTCATAGGCTTGCCAAGCTGGTGAAGAGGGCTTTACACTAAAGTCGCCGGGGGAGGGAAACCTCAATCCATCCCACTCCTACCAGTTTGATGCCAGGGCCAGCAACAGATGCCCAGAGCCTGGAGAAGTAACACAGGTCAGCAGGAGAGCGCCTGAAGAGCAGCACAAAGGA